GTAGGGATGGGCTTAGGACTTAGCATTAGGAAATACGGCAGGAATCAGGTGTAATAATAAAAATTACTTTTTTTCATAATTTTATTGATTAAAAAATAGCAATGAGACAGTTTCAAATCAAATTGGTAGGACAGTTTCAATAATTCACACATTGCATACATTCTTCCTAGTGGTTAATTGCTGTACAAGATGCGGACATGATATCTTATTTACAAACACTATTAGAACAAATAATCCCTCTATTCTAAAAATTACTTTTGAAATAGCATAAGGTGGTCAACACGGAGACCTGTGTGATAGCTAGATAGCTAAAGCTGCATAACAAATTGGCCCCAGAGGTTCAGCAGCTGAAGGAGAAGAAGATATCTACTATGTCAAAGTCATAGCACTGGCTGGGGAGATGGCCCAGTAGAATAAGTGCTTGCCTGGCAAGCGCAAGGGCCTGAGTTCAATCCCCAGTTCTGCCAAAAAAAAAAAAAAAAAGGCATAGCACTTTCACCTTAGTGGAAAGCCCCACCCTATGCAGGCATTTAGGGATCCAGGTGATGGTGACACTGCCTCCTTCTTCATGTGACATCCTAGTCCCACCAACCACCAATAGAAAGGAAAAGCTCCAGGCCTATTCAGCAAGGAAGCTCTAAATTGTGCGTCCCATAATCTACTCAATTTTGATGGTGAGAGCGCAGATGGCCACACCGGGGAATGTGGCACCTGCTTGGGTGGCCGCGTCCCAACCACTGTTTACAGTGGGAGAGACTAGATACAGGAGTGCAGTTCATGTCTCCATGGACCTGGGCACCACGTGTCACTCAGAATTCCCTTGTGCTTGTCTCCAGCTGGCTGAGCAGGAGAGGAGAGGTAGGCTGGCCTCTCTGTGCTTTGAGTGGGTGCAGTGGAGACCCTCCAGGCAGCACCTGCCACCCACCCATCGCAGCTCACCCAGGGCGCGTGCTCTGCAGTGTGGAAAGTCAGCAGGCCACTCATTCTGCATCTGGCTCTGGCTGTCTCTCTTTTGCTGGCAGTGTATAAGCTTTAAGTCCTGTAAGTTGAAGAGATCTATAAATTGTCTACACTGCTTTTTCTACCAGCTCTTTCCTGAGTTCAATAATGTAACCTTGTCCCCCTCTCTGTTTTGCCCACAAATGTATCTCATGTAAGGGCCAGGGAGATAGCTCAGTGGACTAAAGCACCTGCTTAGGCAAGCTTAGGCAAGCCCAGGGACCACAGTTCAATCCCCGGCACCACATGCCATGCTAGCCCTGGAAATACACACACACATACACACACAAAAGAGAGAAAAAAGAAATATATCTCATGCTGGGACTAATGGTCTGATTTTGCTGAACTCTGAACTGAATTGTATGAATTCTAAATTTCAAAGGGATTAACCAGTTTTTCAGAACTGCCCATCTGAGTCAGAGGGGACTTGGTACATTTGGTACATTTTCTAATTGCTGGGCCAGAGCACCTGGGTGTTATTGCCACTGAACTTGCTCCTAGGATGTAGTAAAGTGCGTCTGAGGTTCCTGGGGTCAGAAGGCAGGGTAGGATTTAGCTCCTGCAGGCTCTGCTAGAAGGCAAGACGCAGGGGCTGCCCAGCTCTGCCTGGGTGCTGGGTCCCCTCCCGCTCAGTCGCTCAGCCTCAGGGTGTGCCTGCAGTGGCCAGAACCGCGCTGCCTCCACGGCCAGCCAGAACAGTGCCATCATCAATGACCGGCTTCAGGAGCTGGTGAAACTTTTCAAGGAGCGGACGGAGAAGGTGAAGGAGAAGCTCATTGACCCCGATGTCACCTCGGATGAGGACAGTCCCAAGCCCTGTGAGTCTGGGGCTGGAGGTGGCCCACCTGGCTGTGGAGGAGTGGAACCCCAAATCCCCTCCCCAGCTTACAGGGAGGTTGAGTGGCCCACAGAAATGGTGGGGTTCCCATCAGAAGAAATGAGGGGGTCCAGACATACAAGCAGGTGTGGGGCTGGCCAGAACCTGGCTGGTTTCTTCACAAGGAGCTTGCAGCAGGTGTGGAACAAATACGAACCCCTCAGTTCTGGCTCCAGGGCTGCAGTTAGGACCCCAGACCTGAGTCAGATGATCACCAGTGTCACCCTACAGCCCCGGTGAAGAAAGCCCCGGAGCCGGCCCCGGCCGCAAAGCCAGCTGAGGTGGAAGAAGTGGAGGAGCACTACTGTGACATGCTCTGCTGCAAGTTCAAGCGCAGGCCCTGGAAGAAGTACCAGTTCCCCCAGAGCATCGACCCCCTGACCAGTGAGTCCTGGAGCGCAAGGCGGAGGGCTGGACAGTGGGTAATCATAGAGGGTGAGGGGTGAGAGAGGCCGGCGGGGGGAGGCCATGGTTGTCTTACGCTTCCAAAGGACCCCATACCCCACCCCCGGTCTCTTCAAACAATAACAAGAACAGGAACACATGCTTACATGCTGTGATGAGGGAGTGAAGGCACAGGGAGATTGTCCAGCTCTGGGACAGCAGCAGTGCAGACCCATGACTCCAAGCTATGGCTGAACTTTCTGTCTACTAGGGCCATGATGGCTCCCTCCCAGAGCCCCTTCTCTGAGCAGAGAACTGTGCATGAGCGTGTGTGTGCGTGTGCGTGTGCGTGTGCATGTGTGTGTGTGTGTGTGTGTGTGTGTGTGTGTTTCGTCCAGTGTCAGCTGTGAATCCCTCCTGCCTCCCTTCAACCCTACTCCGCAGTCCTCGGGAGCTATACCCCTGTATGTGCACAGCGCTTCCTGGTTTACAAAAGACTGCCCTCCTCTCTTATGCACATTTGCCTAGGGCTCTGGGGAGAGCATGGGAGGTACCAGAGAGGGACTTTCTCAAGGTTACCCAGAAGTCCTGAGGGAACAGGACCCCAACCCTGGTGTCCACTTTGGAAAGTGACCTACTGTGTCCATTCATCTAACCTTCCACCTACCTGTCTGTGCTGCACGTGTTATTTACTAGTCTGTATGTACAAAGGCAGGAAACGCATTGCTAGAAAATTTTCACGAAGAATGAAAGCAAGCCCAGCGTGATGACTCCCACCTGCAATCTCGCCTACTCCAGAGCTTGAGGCAGGAGGATGGGAAGTTCAAGAGCAGCCCGGGCAAGTTAGTGAAACCCTATCTCAAAATTTTAAAAGGGGCTGGGAGTATAGCTGAGGAAAGAAGGAAGATATAAAGAAGGAAGAAAGAGAAGGAGGAAAGGTGGGAAGGAGGGAGGGAGGGAGCAAGGGAAGAAGGATGGGAAAGAAAGAGGGAAAGCAGATGGAATGAATGATGCGAGGCAGAGACCACGCAACAGGCTTTTGTGAAAGCAGCGAGGCATAAGATATACCCAGACACAGGTGATGGAGGGTGAAAAGACCATCCATGGGGACCAAAGAAAAGTGAGGGCCCTTTAGAGGGCTTGAACAAGGTGGGATCTGACAAGGGACATTACGTGAGGAGGTTTGAGTGAGCGTCGGTGGTCGAAGTTCTCAGAGCACCCAGTGCAAGCCCATGGACGTTATCAGTGGTCCTGGAGCTGGAAGGGTCCACGCTCCCGCGTGTCTCTTCTTGACGACAGCCTGCGCTTGCAGAGGACAGCAGCACCTGTGCTGAGCTGTATTTCTTTCTGAGAACGATGTGGCTGCCGATGAACAGGTTGGATGCTGGGAAAGTCATGCTGGAGTAGAGCCTGACATTCCCGTTTTTTTGTTATTATAAACAAAAAGGAGAAGGTAAAGGGAGAGGGGCATCGCTTCTCATTGCTGCTCTGTGCAAAACACATGGGCTAAGTGGGCAACCTAGTGGGAAGGGTAACCTGGGGGAACCGTTTAGTATCGGGGAAGGAGAACAACCGCTGCTGATGGGCCATTGCTCAGAGGCGCTCTCATAAGAACTGTGCCAGGAGTCTGAAAAGACAGGGCCTGAATAAGAGAAGGAGAACTATATAACCCAGTGGTCCTTGCAAGGGAAGGAGCTCAGCAAAAGGCCCATCTCAGATCACAGTCCAGGAGTCAGACGCACAGTCCAGTCTCTGAGGCCCTTTCAGGAAGCCTTTTGGCTGCGTCTTGCACTATGCCTGATTGATTTGTGTAAAAACAGCATTCTTCCCCTAGAACTCATAGGCTGTCTCTTTCAGACATTAAGAGATCTAGGCCTCTTTGGTTTTGGAGAGTTACAGATGCCAGAGAAGCCATTTGGGATTGCAGAGTAACAATGGGCTTGACTATCTCCTCAAGGCTTTGACATAGCTCTGGAGACAAGGCGTGAGAGTGAGAGAGAGAGGTTGTCAGACCAGCTGTCCCTGTCCCTGTTGCAGCAGTGATTTCCAAGCCAACAAGGAAAATAATCAACTAAATGGCCCTGTGCTGTCAAACCTGGGCCTTTACTGTGACAGGCAGGCTGCAGTTCCCGGGGCTATGTCTATAGTTGGTGTGAGATGGATCAGTGTACAGGTCCCGGTCCAGTTGGTGGGGAGGCACAGTAGGTAGATGTCCTGCAGAGATAATGAAGACAGAAAATTTAAATAGTTTTTTGGCATTCTTAATCAATTTAAATTTTCTGTCTTCATTATCCCAAATATTTAATGTGCCTGACCAAACAGTGCCCATAAATGGTTGAAGAGGCCTTCTTATTTCAGGAATTTGAGGAGTGCCTGAGGTGCGGCTTTCCCAATGGAGGAAAAATCTCTTAGTGTCTATAATCAGCTGCTTGGAGGATCGATGGAGAGTAGGCACAAGGAGGCGGTCAGCGCGGGTGGGAGTCTGAGCGTGGGCGTCCTATGGGTGCATTTGTGCACAGGGGACGTGATGGCTGGCACGGAAACCAGACTTCTGCTCTCAAGTCTTTCTGTGCCTGTACTCTGCATGATTTCTCCCCCAGAGGAGGGCACATTGTTTTCTTTTTTCTCTCCCTCCTCCTGTTTGATGATTGAAGAGAGGTTGACCCAGACCACGAGATGCCTTTCATACTCATGGCACGTGGGTGAAGTCAATCTGCCAGTCCTGGGTTGGGGAGAAACCCCATGCCTGGTATGTGGGGAAAGGAGGGCCCTTAGGCCCCCATGAGGTGTTCCCGGGCAGACAGAGCATGGAGCAAGAACAGTCTCAAGGAGGGCCTCCCAGGAATGAAAGCAATAAGAGGCTCAAATAGAAGAGATAATGGCTTGTAACCTACATGGACATTGTCAAGAAGAGATGAAAGAATAGCACGGGCTTGTGAGGTGGGGAGGAGAAATTTTGCTTGATCTAGGAACCACCCATGCTTTGTGGGGTAGTTTAGACTTTGCTGGTGCTTAGGGAGGGAAGGGGCAGGGGTGAAGCAGGAAAGGGCAAAGTATTGGCCTTTTGTAGCATGGTGGGAGAGACTAGCTGGGCCTAAACTTTGTGGTTTTATATGCAATGGTATTTGTGGGATTGGAGAGTCTACAATGAAGTGCAGCCACCCTGTTGGCAGAAGAGCTCCTTGGAGAAGGGCCTTAATGCAGGCCGCATCAATGATCAAGGACTCCCGAGAGATGAGGATCCTCTCTCTGCCCATACGGCAGCATGACTCTGAGGTATGGCAAATGCATACTTGAGGTCATACAGCTGTCAATCTGTAAGCCTCTGGTCAGTGGAAGAGCATGAATCAGAGCAGCCGGTTCATCCTGGCGAGAGATGGCAGATGGGGCAAGGGCTGCGGCTTCCCTAACAGAGTCACGTGAGAGAGCTGTGTATCTCACCATAGTGGGTGATGTTCGGAGGCCTTACAGGAACTCCCATTGGTAAACCAAGTGTGATGGGGCAGACAAGGGGAAAGAGCTGAAATACAAGGAAAAGGTGAGACTGTCAAGTGAATAAAGGACAGTCATGTGAAGCTGGCATCTCAGAATGAGACAGAGTTGGTATGAAATGAGACAAGATCAAAGTCAGGACCCAGGCAAGGGACGCTGTTGGGTTTCTATGGAGTGCACAGAGGCCAGATAGCTCAGCGAACTAAAGCACCTGCTTAGGCAGACACAGGGCCCGGGGTAGGATCCCTGGTGTGCCGTGCCAGTCCTGCCTCTGGGGCATGCTGGGACAGTGACTGAGACTGGGCATAGTGGCACGCGCCTGTAATCCCAACACTTGGGAGGCTAAAAACAGAAGGATCACTACGAGTCCTATCTGTCTAGTGAGACCCTGTAGACCCTGTACTAAATGCAAACAAACAAACAAAAAAAGAGTGCACAGAACTGTAAGATCCAAAAAGCAGATAGAAGATGAGGGAGATGTAATGAGGATATGAGACCCCACAGATGGTGGCCACAGTATAGGATAAGCCACCAGTGTGTCTCTAGCAGTTCTTAGAGCTTCCATAAGCATCAAGGTCACAGTGGCAACCACTCCTAGGCAGGGACACCAACCCGATAGTAGGGTCAAGTTGTTCCTACAGGAGAGCAGCTTGGTGTAGTCTTGACCACTGGGGCAGAACAGCAACCATGCAAGCAACGTGCTCTGCAGCACATAGACAGAAAGGGTGCAAAGAAGTCAGGGCTGGGGCTGTTTTTGGAGCTTCTTTTAGGATCTTGAAAGAAGAGTGAAAAAAGTGCTCATTATCTGAAGGCTCAGCTGGGTCCTGTTTTGTGAGCTTTTACAAGGGTTTGGTAAGGAAGGCAAGGCCAGGAACCTGGAGAGGGAAGTATCCCACCACCCCAAGAAAGGAGAGATGTTTTGATGGGGATTGGCATCTTGAGAAATTAATCTTACACAATTGGGAAGGAGGATTTGAGTGTGTCTGCACAGAATAATGCCCAGATAGGTAGCAGATGGAGAAGAGATCTGAGCCTTGGATGGAGACACATGGTAGCCCTTCATGTCTAAGTGCTGTATGAGCTGGAAAATCTTGTCCTAAGGATTCATTAAAGGGGCTTCAGACAGGAGACGGTATACATGCTGTATGAGGTGGAAATCAGATGGGTAGAAGGAGAGCAAAGTGTAGGCCCAGGCCTGGCTGAAATAGGGAGCACTGTCTCTGAAGCCTTGCGGCAGGACAGGCTCGGTCAGCTGTTGGGACAGGCAGTGTCAGGGTCTGTCTATGTGAAAGCGAAGATGGGCACATCCGGCACCAATCTACGTGCGCCATCTGTTTTCTGAATGGGGAGAATGGGAGTGTTATAGGGAGAGCTGATAGGGACCAAAAGACCATGTTGGAGCAGGAGAAAAATAATTGGTTTTGGTCCCCTGAAAGCCTGATCAGGGACTGGGTACTGGCACTGGGAAGGATAGAGGTGACCTAGGGCTCAGATCAGGGGAGGCAGTGGGGGCTTCGGTTAAGAGCAGAGAAGAAGAGAGGAGAGCGGTAAGAAAATCAGGGCAAACACCAGGAATGGTCAGAGGATAGCTCATCTGAGGAGGGGGATGGGGCAGGTAGGAACAATCGGAAAAGAGTAGGAGAAAAGTTCACCTAATTGATACCAAGTTGGAGGAGTTTTAAAAAGCCTGGAGACTGCCATCAATACCCAAATTCTACTGAGTTTGAGGCCACATCGGTCCTTGGAAAAAAGGCAAGGCAGAACAAGTTGCATCATTATTGATTATAAAATATATGGGCTTAGCCTCCACTGCAAGCTGTCTGAAGCTCAGGGTCTGAGATGGTCCAGGGGCCTCCAGAGCTGCTGGGCAGCATCAGTGGTCTGTTGCCAGTCTGAGGAAGTCTGGGGGACAGCCAGCTGGGGACACTAAGAGCTGACACCAGGGGCAGACGCCAGCATGGAGCAGTCTGATGTTCAGTGAATACTCCCACAGGTCGGGCATGGCCTCAAGAATACCAGGCCTTGGACATTCCTTAGCCCAGTGACCAGGCTGACAGCATTAGAAGCATGGCCCAGAGGTGTACCCCTGGGTTGGAGAGCCCAGGCAGCACCCCTCGTGGGTTTCTTAGGGTGGAGGCAAACAGCTGGAATTCTGAAAGGCACTGTCTGTGGGCAGCTTCATCCTATTATTGAAAACTATGAATGCCAAGTTTAACTCCTATTGTTGGATTTGTAACAGTTTCTGTAACTTTTTCCAAATATCTGGAGCAGACTGGGTAATAATATGCACCTGGTAAATAAGCAGCATCAGCTGGTCTTCTGGGCCTTTTGTGTCCAGGGCTGTATGTCTGAGGGTGTCAGCCAAATGAGACATAAACTAAGCCAGATCCTTATCTTTTGTCTGGGTGGTTCCTTAAGCCTATCACAATCAACTGCCCTGGGTATTGCCTTGTAGAGCCCTTCATGTAAACAATGACCATATAAGGCTGGGAAGATAGCTCAGTGGAATAAGCGCTTCCTTGGGAAGTGCAAGGACCTGAGTTCAATCCCCAGTTCCAGGGGCCTGGCCTTAGCTCAGTTGTTTAAGTGGCTGCTTCCACAAAGCTGTCAGCCTCAGGATGCTGTAGTTCGATCCCCACAACACTCCAGCC